AAGACATAGCCAGGGTGAGGAGAGAAAGAAGCGAGGAAGAAGAAAGGAAGGGGAAGGAGAAGTGAGGGTGCGAGAGAGAGGAAGTGTCGGCAGCCATAGCCGAGTTAAGGGCTGACCAAGGGGTTGACCAAGGGGTTGACCAAGGGGTTGACCAAGGGGTTGACCGAAGTTGGTTTGGGCGTTGACCAAGGCATTGACCAAGGTTGATTGGAGCATTCAGCGGGGTTTGAACAGCGTTGACCAGCGTTGACCAAGACGTTGACCGGGGCTGTTGACTACGATTCTAACCAAGCTGGAGTTGGTATATTCTCGTCAAACCCTCAGCCTATCCCCTCGCCCTCTGGATGTGCACTCACCCTATGGTACTTGCTGAGTCAGTTTGTCTCTTCTTTCTGCATTGAGTCCAGGTGTTAGGAACTCCGTGTATGAAGGATAGAGCTCATTGACCAAACCCACATGGGCTGAGTAGGGCTAAAGGCCGTGTCTGACGACTCGACTGACCCGGAGGACACGAACCCCCCCAAGGACCGGTACTGACCGGCGGGCTGCTCGGTGTGGCACGGTAGGCCCAAAATCCGAGCTGTGGGCTGCACAACAGGCTGTCTAAGTCTTGAGAGGACTTGCTGATCGCGTCGTCCTGTCTGTGACATTAAATAATTCCTGAGGAGTTACATGGGATTTCCTTAAATGCCTCCTGATCAGCAACAAGTCCTGTAGTGACAGCCATAGTTTAGGTCTAGGCTAGTGACCCTAGTTGACAAAATTCCATCAGGATTCTGTGGTCCTTTTCCTAGGTCCAGTTAGTCAGGTGTTGAGGTCTAAGTGGTGAGGTTTGGAACTGTTGTCTGGTTGTGCACCTATCACCATGGTTGACCTTCGCAGTGGGAAGAGCACCATGCCCTATAGCAAGGCTCAAGAGGAGCAAACCGCCGCCATCCTGAGAGAGAGAAAGGAGAAGGAGCTCATTCAACAAGCGAAGATGAAGATGATACCAGACGAGCAGGCGGTGAAGAAAAAGAAGTTAGAGGAGGAGATGAAGAGATTGCAGCAAGAGGAGGAAGAGAGATTGAAGGCTGCAATAGAGGAAGAGATTGAAGAGGAGGAGGAGCCGGAAGAAGAGTCCCTCAGAAGAAGAGGCATGGGGGGAAGAGGAGAAAGCAATCGCATGAAGGAAGATGACCCGTGGGTAGAGAAGAGTGATCCCATAGAGCGCCAGGCCATAGAAAATGAAAAGAGGTTGGACTGGAAATTGCGCCTGGCGAGAGAGAAGAAGAGGAGGACGGAGGAAGCCAACTGGGTGGCTAGGGAAGTGGAAAGTTTACAAACTTGTAGACAGGAAGTAGAGGCCCAGCCTGATATTCAAGCCAAGTTAGACAAGATTATTGGGAGCATCGAGCTCCTAGGTAGGGCCTGGACTGAGCACCATCAGTCTGTTAGGGGCCAAGACATGGCCCTCCACTCCATCCGGTCTGGTTTCAGAGAATTCGCGCGGGGTGTAATGACATATGTAGGGAACGAGGTTAGGAAGCTAAAGGAGGGCGCAAGGAAATTCTGCACAGGCGCCATCGAGGACACCAAAGAAGCGGTCGCTGCAGAGATGGAAGTGCGTACCCGCGAAGAGCCTGTTAAGCTTAAGTTTCATGACTCTTATGGCGGGAAGGAGGAGGAGAACTTTGATAATTGGGAGGCTAGTATTAACACCTATGTGCATCTCCAACACATTGTGCCTGAGGAACAAGTCCTAGTAGCCTTCCATGCTTTAAAGGACGAAGCGGCTAGTTTTGCCAGGTCCCTCGCGTGAGTAGCCGATTGTGAAAACAATATCGTTGCATATTCTAAACTCACCCCTCTTCATAAATTCCTTACACTCCTTAGAGAGAGATTCACAGACGTCACACGAGGCGTCAAAGCCTCTGATAAACTGCAAATGATCCACTCACGGTAGTGGAAGATTGCAAGGGCACTTAAAGCAGTCATGGATGATTTAGTAGTCATCCCAGACCACGGGGTCATTGAGACCCTGTTAGTTAATTTATTTTATCGTGCCATGCCAGAGCCCTTACGAGGGCATTTCTTTGAGAAGACCCAACAGGCCACCACCACATATGACACGTTGAGTAGAGAGGTGGTCCTGTTTGAGGCCAAATCTATGTCAATGTCCACTTTCTGGCCTAAGGATTAGATAAGGGGGAAAAGTGGAAGGGCCGTACCATCTCTGGTCAGGTCAGGGCAAAGGATCACCTGATCCTTTTAGACGAGGGTGGTACCGATGCAGTCTCCTAGAGTCAGATAGAGTGGGGGCTTGAGGAAGAAGATAGTAGTGTGGGCCAAGGGAGGACCTACGCTGCTGTCGCGGCTGGAGTGAGGCCGGAAAGTAGAGGAGGTCAGGGCCAAGGGGGCCAAGCCATGGGTGGTCGAGGTCCGGGCGCACAGGGGGGTGGCGGCCAAAGGAACCGCCAAGAAGCAGGTAGAGGTCAAGGTCCCCCGCCGAATCGTTCGGGGCCTAGTCGATCACCACAGAGTAGAGGTGGAGGATCACCTCAATGGAGAGGAGGTTGGCACCCAGGTTGGCCACAGGGCCGACCTTGGGAAGACCTGGGCTTGAACCAGAGAGTGTAGCAGCAACGAATGGAGCAGCGGCAGTGCATCTATTGCGGTGACCCTGCCCATATTATTAAACATTGCCCAAAGTATAGAGAAGCCCGATTTGATGCCCATAGGTCAAAAGGCAGCCGCCGGTAGGGGTTGCAACTGCCCTTACCATTAGGCCATGTGGGGAAGTGTGCGCGCACCACCAGGAAACTCCCACACCACATGAGCCTATGGCAGATGTTGCAGGCTAGTACCTAGTAAGTTGTCCAGAGACTGCCTGTGTTAGAGTCTCTCTAGGCACTTCCCTCACAGGTTTGGCAGAGGAATTGAAGGAGAGGATGCCGGCCTGGGCCAGGATGAAGAAGGAGAGTAAAGGACAACTTGTGTTATTAGACTTAGAAGTTTTTAGAAGTAGAGTAGGGGCCCTTATAGACACAGGGGCTAGCCGAAAAGCGTTAAAGAAGTCAAGGCTAGGCTTAAAGTCCAGAAGTTGGAAGTCCCCATAGTCAATATCCTCGCAGACAACCGCACGATGTGTGTTGAGGATTACGTCGAGGGAGTCCAGGCGTATCTTCGCCTAGAGAAAGATGGTAAGGTGGAGAAAGTCCTCCATTCTCTGACTCTCCTCGTAGAGGACAGCCTCTCTTTTGATATAGTCCTAGGTATGGACTGGGAAGAGGCAGCAGGGGCCACACTCCATTTGAGAGAGCATGAGTGTAGGCTCCCTCGGCCGTTTCATGTCTCAGGAGTAGGTAACTCCCTGGCACATTGTTGTCTCAGCGCTCCCGCGTTCGCGCGATTAGTAAGGAAGGAGCAGTTAGCAGAGCAGGTCTTCGTAGCTTACGTAAGGCCTGTCACTGAGCCTTCTGAGGAAAAGCCAATAGACCCAACTATTGCCAAACAGCTGGACGAGTTCAAAGATTTAGCAGAGCCACCAACAAGAGTAGTATCGCGGCCAATCCAACATCGCATCGAAATAAAGTCTGGCAGTAGAACTCCTAAGGGTGCAATTTACAGGACGTCCCCAAGGGAGTTAGAGTTGTGTAAGCAACTAGACAAACTCCTCGAAAAGGGTTGGATTAGGCCCGGTTAAAGTCTTCTATCCGAGCACCAGTTTTGTTTGTCCCCCAAAAGGAAGGAAAGTTGCGTATGTGCATTGATTATAGGGGTCTGAATGCAATTATAGTGAAGAATGTTGAGCAGCTGCCCAGGATAGACGATCTTTTGGATCGGATGCAGGGCTGTAAATATTTCTCAAAGATAGATATGAAGTCCGAATATCATCAGATAGAAGTCCACCGTGATGACCAGTATAAGACTGCTTTCCGAACTAGATATGGACATTATTAGTTCATCGTGATGCCCTTTGGACTGACCAATGCGCCAGCCACATTCCAGCGTTGCATGAATGATGTGTTTAGGCCTTGGTTAGATAGATTCGTCGTAGTTTGGCTAAATGATATATTAATTTTCAGTAGGACCCTCCAAGAGCATCAAGGTCATTTGAGGCAGGTCTTGGAGAAGTTGAGAGAGACTAACTTCAAGATCAATGCGAAGAAGTGCGAGTGGGCCAAGACACAAGTCTTGTTCTTGGGCCACATCTTAGACGGAGATGGAATTACGCTTGAGGATAGCAAGATAGCGGCGATTAGAGATTGGTCGACACCCCGCACGATGACAGAATTGCAGTCATTCTTAGGCCTAGCTAATTGTTATAGGAAGTGCGTGAGAAACTTCTCCGCCATCGCTGCTCCCCTTCGCAGGTTGCTCAAGAAGGATGCAATCTGGAAGTGGGATAAAGATTGTACCTCCGCTCTTAAGAAATTAAAGCGAGCGTTGATAGAATACCCTGTCCTCAAGGTGGCAGATCCATCCTTGCCATTTGTCGTCACTACGGACGCAAGTCATATCTGCTTGGAAGACACTTCAAAGTTTATTCAGACCACGAGACCCTTAGGTGGTTGAAAACGCAGGCCAAGATGACACCTAAGCTAACTAGGTGGGCCGCTGAGATAGATCAATATGACTGAGCTCAAACCAGTCAAAGGCAAGTATAATGTAGTTGCGGATGCTAAGTAGGAGATCAGATTACTTTGAAGTTGTAGTTCACTATCTGGATATAAGGAGAGACCTGCAAGAGAAAGTAAGATAGGCATATGCGCAGGACCCTATTTATAGTGACCTTCTCAAAAAAGTTAAGGAAGCCCCAAAGACCCGTGCTACAGAGGGATTACTACTCGAGAAGTGTTCCTAATAATGAGGAGATCCGTAGTTTGATCCTACCGGAATGCCACGACACAGAGGGACATTTCGGTTGGCAAAAGACTTTAGCCAATCTGATGCATGTGTATACTTGGCCAGGAACGAAAGCCGATTGCATAGAATACGTTCACAGTTGCAAAGTTTGTCAAACGAAAAAGACAATTATGTGTGCCCCTCTAGGTCTTCTTCAACCCTTGCCTATTCCTGACCAGCCTGGAGATTCAGTGTCCATTGACTTCATGGATGCTACCATCAAAAGTAGACATGGACAGAGCCAAGTCATGGTGATTGTTGATAGGTTTAGAAAATATGCTGTCTTTGTTCCCTTACCCGTAGAAGCCCGTACAAAGTTAGTAATTCAAAAGTTTTTTGGCTTTTGGGTTAGTGATCATGGAATCCCATAGTCCATAGTTAGCGATAGGGACACCCGATTTACAAGTCAAAACTGGCAGGAGTTAATGAAAGTATACAGGTCAAAGTTGTTAATGTCGTCTGGCCGTCACCCAGACACTAACCGTCAGACCGAGCAGATGAATAAGATCCTGCAACAGGTTTTGCGCATGTATATTAGACCAGATCAAGTTAACTGGGATGAGATGTTGCCTACTGTAGCCAGTGCATATAACAATAGCGTGCACCTAGCCACTTGTCGTACTCCCAATGAGCTGCATAAGTCCTTTAGACCGCGCAGACCGTTTGAAGGGTTTGACCGGGACCAGATTCATAGGCTATCGCCCGGTACTTTGCGATTCAGCACGAGAAGGAATTAGCTACCGGCCCAATACAGAATGATAGAACAGGCTAACAAGCACCGTCGCCCGTCGCAGTTTCAAGTAGGCGACCTAGTCTGGGTCAAGTCCAAAGAGTTTGCTCCTGAGGAAAACATTTCGCAGAAGTTACTGCCGGCGTACAGGGGACCGTGGCGAGTCCTAGAAGTTTAGGGCAGAGAAGATCGGCCGTCCTATACGATAGAGATCCCAGCACACCTCCACACCTACCCTGTGTTCCATGCGTCAAAGTTGTTGCCGTGTGTCACAAGTCAACAGTTTCCATCAAGAAGATCCATGATCCCTCCGGACATGGATGGAAGGTACGACATTGACGGCATTGTAGTTGAAGACGTGTTCCGAACAGGAGGTAGAGGTCGTCCCCAGAAACAATATAAGGTCCGATTTTTTAATCAGGAACCAGAGGACAACCGCTGGTTTACCAGAACTGAACTTGTAGAAACAGCTCCCAACAAAGTCCGAGCCTACAAAAGAGATAAGAAGGGTAAAGGTCCTGCCTTGGACTGAGATATTCTCGGAGGACCTCGAATTCAGGCCGTTGGGAGTGAAACGGTTTTCACCTCCGCAGTAGCGGATGCAGATCCCAGGGCTCGATCCCTAGACCTCACTTGCCTGCGTACAGTACCCCTGTGTGTTTGAACCCGTGACCTGCGTCTTAGGAGTCTGCTGTTGTCCGTCGTAGGCCAGTGTAGTCATCGGGTCTTGAACTGTAGCCTGTCGAGTAGGGGCCAAGTTTGTAGCAGAGGTCGTAGCTGTAGTAGTGCTGAAGGGTCAAGGTGGCAGTCACTAGAGTCCTGAAAGGTCAAGGTCGTAGCTGCTACAGTGTCGAAAGGCCAAGTCCACAGACTTCCGGAAGGTCCGGAAGTGGCCTTTCAAACGTTGTTCACAGTAGACCAGAGGCAAGTGGGCAAGTGGTGAGTCAGCAGTACCCAGTCCCAGTCTCACTTTGTACGGTCAGCAAGCACCATGAGGGACTGTGTGCACCAAGGGCCCGGTGGAATAGGGGCAGACCAACGAGTTACAGAAGTATAAATCAAGAGAGAGCGTCCAGCTATTCATTCATTCCGGCGTAAGCCATGCGGAAGCACTGCCTGAGCGACTTGTGCGAGGTGGTCTGCAGAGCGCCCGAAGACGAAGTGGGCTGAAGGAGATAGTTAGCCATAGCTTTAGAGGGTTAGCGGCCATAGCCGCCATAGCCGATAGGCGAGTGTGTGAGTACGAGAGCGTGTGTATGCGTGCGGGATATCCAGGGTGATCCAGAGTTGAGTACGTGCGAACAGTGGTGTTGGACAGTGAGACGAGAGTTGGCATGTACAGGCGCTGATGCGCCATAGCCTGTTGAAGCGAGTTTGTATCTGAGCTGTGTTTTCGACTTCCATATATTCGAGCTTTGAGTGGGCACTGTGCGCCAGTGTGATTCACCATCTGTTTGCATGAGTGCGAAGTGGAAAAGAAAGTGAGTCTGATTGGAAGAACCTCGAAATGGGGGAAAACAAAGGCCCAATTCGGCTTGTCAGATCTTGACGATCCATGGCCCAGATTGGGCCGTTTTCAAATTTGAAATTGTGTGCAGGTAATCCCCTCCACCATGCCCAATTTTGACTTCCACCTCCTCTTGTTCCGTCTCCTCCTCCTCCTGTCGCTCCTCTTGAGGCAACAACAACCACCCACATCGTTTCTTGTCTTTGGTGCTCCTTGTCAACTTACAACAACGTCCTTGTCCTCCTCCTCCACTCTCTTCTTCTCCTCCTAGCTCCTCCTCTTCTTCCTCATTGTTTCTCCTCATCCTCCTCCACCTACATTTTGCCGTCCCCTTTTTCTGTTTTTCCAAATTGGTCTGTAAATCAATCAATTAACCAATCGATCAGTCAGCCAAACTCGATCGACCATTGATTGAGTGATTGAGTGATTGATCAATAGTGACGACAACGACTGGTTTGACGCTGTCATCGTCATCGTCGCTGTCTAAGCAGTGATGTCAACCACCTCCTCGTCCTCCTCTTCTTTCACTGTCTCCTTCTCCTCCTCCGCATCCTCATCCTCTTCTTCTTCTTCTTCCTACTCCCCTACCTCCCCTCCACCTGCCCCTTTTCTTTTGTGGTCCCCCCCCCTCCTAAATCAATCAACCAATAGCTCAATGAAAGATCGATCAAACCGATCGATCTTTGATTGATTGGTTGATTGACTGAATTTGATTCATTCATCAATGAAGACGACCACGACCTTTTTTTTTCTCCATCATTGTTGTCATCATCGTTGCACAGACAATGATGATGTTCTCCTCCTCTTCCTCCTCTGTCCCACCTCCTCCCAACCTCCTGCCAGCTTTTTCCGTCCCATCCCTGCCTGCCTCCATGCCTACCTCCCCGCCCGCCTCTCAACCCCCTTCCACCCCTGCGCCTCCATCCCCCCGAAAAGAGAAAAAAAGAAAACTGGTGAAATTAGATGCAGGATAAAGGCGAGAAAAAGATGAAGAAGAAGAACAACAAGAAGGACCACCTGCTGCAATTAGATGCAGGATAGAGGCAAGTAAAATATGATGAACAAGAAGAAGAAAAAGAGAAGAAGAAAGAAGAAGAAGAAGAAGGTGGGCTTCTGCAGCTGCTGCCGCATCACAGCCTGCATGTTTTGGTTTTCCGTTGAAATGCCATCGGAATTTTTCCCTGTGGGTCCCTACACTAAGCACAGCAGGTGCCATATGTCGGAAGAGACGCGGCACCTCCCAAACGGAGGGAGACCCGATGTTCGGGATCCCAGACATGTGTCCCAAGAAGTCGGGTCACATGTCCGGGCATCGGACGCTTGGTAACCTGGCACCTCCCAAATGGCGGGAGACTGGATGTTTGGGATCCCAGACATCTGGCTCAAGTTCGGGTCAAGTGTACAGGCATCGTCGCAACCTAAAGATGGGGAAAGTAAAACGGAAAACGGAGCTTCACAATGAAGAAAATAAAAGGGTATATATTGCTGAGCCATTGTCATCACTAGACAGTATGAGGCCAGGAGAGAGGAGTGGTTACTAAGGGAATAATACTGACCTGTTGCTTAGTCCGAGTTGTCTTGCATCCCCAAACTGTGTTTGTTTATGATTTACCATGAGCCTGCATCTTCCCCTCAATGGCGCCTGCCTCTCCTTTTCTCGCTCTTGATCTATTTCTGCCCCCTCACACCATAAATGTTATGGATACAACTGATAGGTACTTTATCTCTTCAGCTGTCATGACACTCCTTGACCTCTCTTTGATCAGATGCCAATACACATGAAATGAGCCCGTTCCTGGCCACAAGACTTCCTTCCCCATTACTGCCCTGCAGCAGAACTCCGTCGTAGACATCCTACTCCACGTAATGGCCCCCTGGGGAGATGTTCACATGATCTTCAACCCCTGACCTATGTCTCGTGGCTGGCAACGAATTACACCATGCTGCATGTGTTATTATGTAATGATGGATTACTGAAAATAAGTCCAATTCTCAAATTACGAAAACAATTCCAACACTTTCCTGATGCCATCTTCACGAATCGCAGAGGGAAAGGGCTCTTCCATCCCCATCCTTCCCAAGCCTGAGAGGACCACAGAGTGATGAAAGTCTAGTCCATGGAGAAGGAACACATGCCATACAGACCGTAAGATGCCGAACATCACAGGAACGACGTAATTGTAATGTAATCACACACAGCATTGACGTAATGACACGATAAATGGCCACTGGTAATATTTTTCGATATCTAGGCAGCATAAGTGTCGAATCGCACCTCTTCCTCTGGCTTGGGTCACAAAGGTCACTTCCGGGTCCGCACAGAACAAGCCGTGCAAACATTGGCTTCGCTGTGTGCAACAACGCCACAGGCAATCGCAGGAATGGCATGCACCCACAGCACAATCATATGCTTCACTGTGTGCACCGCCTCCACAGGCAATTGCAGGAATGGCATGTGTCCACGCATAACATTATATATAGCATGGAGTCGTGCCCACGGCTGTGGGATCGGACAATCCTCAAGGCTTTGGCATGCACTTGCACAGTGCTTGCGACAGAAGACACCACCATTCCACAAGCTTTTCCAGCTCCCCCTGAAAATAATTCAGATATGTCAAGTATCCTATGCTTGGAGCCAATTTAATTTGTCGGGGAGCAGCATAGTCAGCTATGTTGTGTCAATGATGAAAGGATTCATCAAACAATCCACCCCTTCCGAAGGGTAACCCCAACTTGGGATAATAATTAAAATTCCTTTTACCTTGGGAAGACTGCCCCTAGCTCATCTTAAAACACCTCCAGCCCACAGGAAGTGCGCAAGTGGCTATACATCGATCCTGATTCAATGTCTGGATCTATGAAACAAGGATCTGTCTCCTCGAGAAAACATGGACACATTACCGCGCTCCCAAAACACTTGACATTTGTCTGTGGTGCAGGGAACGAGAAGTGGCTGTGCAACTTGGTATTCGAGGCATAACATGCATTGACTGCAAATTTCGTCGATTAGCGAGCATATGGTTCGACTTCCAATGTTCCCAGGCGATCACCTATACGATAAGTTCCACTTCTCATCGGCAGGAGTTGGAGACTCAGGAATCTCTTAATCTTTGAAGAGAGAGAGAGAGAGAGAGAGAGAGAGAGAGAGAGAGAGAGAGAGAGAGAGAGAGAGAGAGAGAGAGAGAGAGNAGAGAGAGAGAGAGAGAGAGAGAGAGAGAGAGAGAGAGAGAGAGAGAGAGAGAGAGAGAGAGGATCTCATGAGAACAACCATAAACCACCATGAAGCAACTCCCAGTGCGAAATCCTGGTCTTGTGCACGAGGATTTGATGACCTCTGTGGGAAACAAAGACAACCAATGCAACAGCCGAAAACATGTGCAGTGATTTGCTGCACCCTTGAATGAAGAGATCTTACCACCAGTTTTTCTGATTGCCACAGCCACCGTTGCTGCTGAAGTCTCATTGGTAGAAATGCCATAACGAGCATTCCAAAAAATTGAGCTAGCGCAGTGAGTCTGGCGGGCACTGGAACGAGGTATCTAGCGAAGAAATTGGTGCTGAGAACCAAGATATGAAAAGAGACGAGAACACACACAACCGATATGAGGCCATAACAAACAGTCAGTTCATTGCTCAAACTCAAGCCATGCCTCGAAGCAAATGACTTGCAAGTGTTTCTGTTGCCCAGGTGCTGATATTATATAGCGGACACAAGATGCTAAGCAGGATATTCAACACACATGCAGTCGCACAGCACTTCACAGGAAAACTACTGAACAGGCAGAGAGCTCAGGGGTTGCAGGAACGCAGCAGAAGCCAAATTCCCAGTGTGACACAATCTGATACAAATGAGACGAATGGCCAACTGCACTCTCTCTCTCTCTCTCTCTCTCACACACACACACACACACACACACACACACACACACACACACACACACACACACACACACACACACAGAAGTGTCGAACAGTCAGTGGCTGGTTCTTTGAAGTGCCTGCAGGACTATAGGGGGGGCGATCTGTCGGTGATGTCTGTGATGCATATGGTCTATGCGTGATGATAGACACCCCCATCAGAGTGGCTTCCTGGCTCAGCAGGTGGAGGTAACCTGTCCGCAGGGTTCTAATTGGCGATGGATTGCTTTGGTTCTTGTTGGATGTGTGGACTGCCTTGTTTGCACTCCTTCAACGCCGTGCTGCCCACCTGCTTGCCATGCCTTTCCCTGCAGCCTGTTTGTTTGCCATGGAGGCTGGTTGCTGTGTCGGTCTGGCCTTGCGCCTCACTGCGTTGCTGCCTTGCTGCCCATTCATGTGACTTATCTTCCCGTGCAGTTTGTGTGTGTGCCTTGTAGTTTGGCTGTTGTATAGCTGTGTTGTAGCCTTGGTTTCCATTGGACTGCCCCATTAGCATTGCCTGGTGCTTTGCTGGGTCATTGCCTTGCTATCATGTTACATTTGTGCTGTTGCCTGCACGCAGCCCACTTTTGACAGAGTTGAGAGTCCACGACTCAAAGAATCAACATGAAAATTTTGAAGATTGTCGAGGGTTCAGCCTCCTGATGAATGTGTGCGAGGGTTCAGCCTCCTGATGAATGTGTGCAAGTCCGGCGAAACAATCAATCAACGTTCTTTGAGACTTAAATTCACGAGCAGCAACCCAAAAGACAAAGTTCCTGAGGCAAATGTCACATCCATAATGAAATGAAAGGTCATTTTGAACAGTCACAAACAGGTCCTGAACGAACAGGTATTGGACACAGTTTTTAAGACTGAGAAAGGGTCACGTCTCCTCGATGGGAAGTCACGTCTGTTCGGCAATGAGTCAAAGGCCACACTCCCAGTCCAGTCATAATCCCACGAGTCGGTCCTGATTCAGACCAGGAGTCCAAAAGACAGGCCCGATGGCCCAAAGCAGCAGAAGACCATGGGAAAAGATACTGGGACACACACTTTGCAACAACGGGTACTGGGCAGGAGTCCCAGACACTTGAGGCTGAATGCAGGGCACGCCAGAGGAGTCCAGCACTATAAAGGACTGGCCAGCCTCCCATTTGACAGATGCTCATCTCGCATGAGAGTGTGCAAGTGTCGTGGCACTTGTGCACCAGATGTGTGTGAGCTGCACTAAGCTGAGAGCAGTGCTACGTGTGAGGAAGAGGAGAGGGGCGCCGGCTGGAAGGAAGGCAGCCATAGCTGCGCCAGCGCCAGTTAGAACATTAGTAGGGATAGTTAGTAGAAGAGTTCAGTGAGTAGTATTCAAAGCAGATCCTCGTGTGATAGGGAGTGTGCGTGCATGATGAGTGGGAGTAGACCAGGACAATAGACATAGAGGGAGAGAGAGAAGAAGGCAGATGATAGAGAGGGAGGTGTGAGCTATGGTGACATTTACCTATTGAGCACTGTTGTTGACTTTGGCAGCTGGCGCTGATGAGCGCCAAGCTTGGAACTCGTGTTGATCGAAGAAGACTTGTAACTTTGTTCAACGCTGTACATTTTGGACTCACGAATTTCCTTTCTTTATCTGGTTATGATAATTGAGTTGAGCTTCCTGGTTCTCATTCATTTTCTATTGGGCTTCGTGTGAGACATCGCAATCTGTGAAATCTGTGTATATGCATGTGATCTGATGCACTCCAGCAAGTGATGAACAGTTGGGTTCCTTGCAACAGATTCCAGATTGCAAAATCACGAAAGCCAGGAAGTCCAACACTGTCCAGAAAGCAGAATTGCACCGATATTATACGAATGGAGAACCAAAACACTGAATCTGAGTGTCAATGAGAGCATGCTCTCGCCATCACCTACAAGTGTTATGAAGCTGGTTGCTTGTTGTCTGCAGACCAACACTCGCTCACATAGACTTCCAGGTATGCCCATACGTACAGAGAAGGAAGGGGAGAGGATGGGAGTATAACACCGCACAGGGAGAGAGAAACACAGTGGAAGGCTTAACTATGTGGTATGACAGAGTACACTGAAAGTGCAAATCGCTCCACAAAATCCTCATCACCAGTCACAGAGGAAAGCCGAGTAGATCACATCCCGAAAACAATGAAACAAAGATAGTCCAGACACAGTAGCCGAATAGATCACATCCAGAAAACAATGAAACAAAGATAGTCCACACACAGTAGCAATACTGTTATTAAACTCAGAGCATCGTTTTGTCAGAATAGCCCCAGAACCATGGTGCGCTGCTCAGAAACGAGCAGCGCTTCTTCCCCCAACCCTGAAACACCGCTATCACTACCCCTGAGTCCCTGAAACACCAAGCGCCACCCAGATACTGCCTCCAGAGGGAAGCGCCACCATGAAACAGGCCTCTGAGGCCAAGCGCCTCTCAGAGGACAAAGAAGAAGACCAGCGCCACAGTCTCTGATGAAGATGAAGTGCCAGAAGGCCTCCCAGGTGAAGATCTTCAGCAGCGCCACCTCTCAACCACTAGTTTCCTAATGGCATCGGACTATATCTTCAACCAGAGAGAGAGAATGGTTGCTGGGCATACAGCCTCTGAGGATCCTACTCGTTGTAATCAACGATTCCAAATATTCAACGTTCTCTGAGGCAGCGCCACTACCCTGAAACCCTACTCCCAAGGAGGGTTCAGCAGGGCACCAACTTCTCCTGCTCCCAGCAGACCACAGATAGCCCAGACCTCTGGACAGCCCCACGTGTTGTCAGAGAACAAAGAAGGTCCCAGCTATGGCCGACGCTTTGAGGGTCTGGCTATGTCCGTCTCCTTCAATGCTGAAGTTGTACCACTCCAGTTCACGTGTTGCATCCCCCGATGTGCACGGTACCCACTGCAAAAAGCCCTGAACAGACTTCCCAATTCTATTCATAGTCTACCCTAGCCTAGACACAACCTAGACGGGACTGACCGGACTGACTGGACTGACCGGTACCATTTCGGTTTCGGCCTCTAGGGGCTCTCCCTACTCGGCTATAGGCTATAGGACCAGTGTAACAGCATAGGCCCGTAGGCCCGTTTGTCCTAGTGGTAGCCTGGGTCCGCTATTCGCAGTTAGGGTAGCTGTAGGAAATTCAAGTTAGTACGGGCCTGAAATTTTCCCGACTTTACAGATATGTCCCTCACGAATTTTCCCCACAGGCAGATATCTCGGTTAGGCCTCAGCCAAACAAATTTGCGAATCTAACCTACCTGTGTTACAGCCTTGGTGCGACGAGCAGTAGGCCGCAGAATCAGCAAGTCATTGCACAAGTATCCAGAGCCCTTCCTCCTATCTGGCGCTCGGCGCCCAGACGACAACCACAAACTAGTACTAGCCAACGAATTGACAATGCAACTGTTGACGTCAGCAACCGAACCGAAGTACATGAAGATGTCACCCCTTGTAGACAATCGCCAAGACCAGGTACGTGCCCTCACATCATCATCCTCGTCTCTCTCTCTCTCCCTGGTCTTCTCTACCCACATCTTCTTCCTCCTACACGAAGACCGTTGTCGGGACAAATACCCTGACAAGGGTATTTGTCGGGGTTTCTCAACGTTGGACTCTTTTGTTGGATTGAAGGACTTGATGAGACTGACTTTGCCAAAAGTTTATTCAGACCAACCTTACGACCGAGAGACTTGAATTTTTGAGAACCTGACGTCGTTGACGTAGGACGTCATTGACGTCCGATCGAAACAGCGGGAGTCCGTGGTACAACCTGTCGGCCTCGGTTCCCGATAAGACCGCAAGAGTACGCGGTCGTGGAAAGGCTAAAACTAGACTATTCTAGCAGCCACGCGATTCAAGGCCTAAGTAGGCTAAAAAGAGGGATGCGCCGGGTATAGAGCCGCGGCGCAAGGAGAATAGGTAAGAGGGGTTTTATTTCCTGGGCCGCAGGGGTTGACATCGAGCCAGGAGTTTGATAGGCCGATGTAGAGGTCATGCGGCCAACCGACAGGGCAGGACCTGCCAGCAAGCCTATTAGGCCACAGGGCAGGTAGGATCTGCAAAGCCTGAAGCAGGCGAGGCAGTTAGGCCACAAGCAGGCGGACAGGGCCTGCAAGGCCACCGGCAGAGGGGGGATAGCTACTGGGCAAGCTCTTCTTATAGAACAGTTGCTCCTACCTCTACCGTGGTAGGAGCTAGCCCAGTAGGTACTGGTACTTGACTGTCACCCCACTAATATGGGGATCGAACCTGACCAGCCGCGCTACCGGGCTAGCTCCTTTTGAAGCAGCCCACTATGCTAGGGCAGTTGGGCGCGGCCTGTTTCAGTCATGCGATCTTCGAGATCGCACGGCTGAAATCAGTCGTGTCGAGATTTGCATGGCCCTGCACAAGGATGACACGCATAAATCGAGAAGCATCTCGAGTCCTTCTGGACTCGAACTCGGGTCTGTACTTCAACAGTTCGTAGGTGTACCACGAACGACCGTTGGCATAAGCCAATGACTTTTTAAGGGGAAAAAAAAACAAAAAAAACTAACCGAATTTGAGGCGTTGTCGGGGCAAATACCCTGACAAGGGTATTCGCCGGGGATTTTAAACGTCGGACGCTGTCTGACTTTTCATTGGGTTAAAAGACTTGATGAGACCGA